CGTCTCTGTCCACCATGTAGCTTCTGTCATCTTCAAACCCACAGACCCAGTATCCATCTTCATCAAAGTGGCGCCTCATGTGCTTTCCCCATTGCTCTTCATCCATGGCTCCGGCCCATATACCCTCGTATTCCCAACATATCAAACAACTTCGCCTCTCAATTCCATTTTTCGTAGTAGCTGGCAGATGCGATTCAAGCACAAAGGAACATGAGAGTCCTTGATGAGCTGGCCGGTCTTGAGTGTAGGACCTGGGATAGAACAACTTGACTGAGAGGCCACAGTATGAACACTTGTGTTGATCCTCTTGGTCCCAGAAGAGATCTTTGCTTTCCCCACGGCGTAAAGCGATAGCCCCGGGACAGAAACCAGGGTTCATACCGAGGAGATGCCTGAAGCACATTGACCAGGTTCGTTTCTTTCGGCGACAAGGCAGCTTCGGTAGTATGCGAGCGCATGTTGCAAGTGGATGTATTTGTCGACTCGGTATTTGTTCAGATCCGACGCGTAGAATCTCGCTCTCGCCTTCTCGCAGTTCAATCGTCTTGTCAAGGGTACCGTGCGGTTCAAGGCCGTTCCGCCGTTCAATCTCGAAACCACGTGCGTCTTCGTTATTCTCGATGTATGCGTTTAATACACGTACACCGCCATCAGGACGCTCGTCTTCTAGGAATTCGTTCTCTTCTCCAGGACCATTGTTACCATGTCCGTCCTGCAGTGATTGATAGTCTTCTTGAGAGTATACCACGTCATTGTCATTTGGTCCAGCGCCTTCGCGTGCGAGCCAATAGGCTACGCGGATGGCACTTCCTCTGAGTTCTGCTGGGGTACTGGAATACCTGGTTCTGGGGGTAGGGGTGGTATAGTGGGATGAATGAGCGGGAATCGATGAGTAGGATGGTGGAGGGCTCCGGGTATCGTCCATGGCGACGGCTTGGCTTGATCTTCTCGATCCTTGAAGTTGCATTCCTGGGCTTTGGTAGATGCGAAGCCGAGGGAAGGCGAATATCTTATGGAAGATATCAGTCGTTTCATGGCGGGGTCAGTGATGTAATGTGCGCGAAACCCGTATGGGATAGGTCGCTTGAAGCGAATATGTCTACCATGGTACATCCGGACGATGCATCTTATCTCTCCAATGCAGTCCCTTCCAACCCTCTCTTATCTCAATCCACGCGTCTAACCCCCACAACTCTATTCAATCTAGCCTCCACCCCATCAAGCACCCCTCTCAAATCTTCAACATCTCTCCCAATATCTGACACCATACTAAACACCTGGCCCACCTCATGCGCCGTCCGCCTACCCTCCACTCTACTCAACACCGTACTAAGGTTAATCACATCAGCCTTCCTCCGTACCCACAACCAACGATGTTGAAGATCGCAATTTGCGTATTCCAGACCCAGACGGTTACTATTGCGCATGTGCCTAGCTGGAGGAGAATCATCGTCATCGGAGTGCGGGTGATATTGCGCTGCATATGGCGATTTCTCTGAGGGAAAAGGCGAAGATTGAGTGGACCATTGCGCCGAGTCCTGGGATTGGTATTCTGGTTTCAGAAAGGGATACTCGAGATCTCGGAACTTTTGGATCAGGTCGCGGATGGTGACGCGCATTACGGTTAATGCTTCTTCTTCGCCGCTTGAGCGCATACTCTGCATGTCGCGGTCGAAGTGCATGGTCCTTCTTTTGCCGCTCCCCCTCCCTCGTCTGCTTCGTTTTCGACTCTCGTTCCCGTTCTTGCCACTGCCGTATCCGCCGTAATACTCTTCGGAATCACTTCTTGCGCTGGGACCGTGGCTTTGGTCTCTCCGTACGTTCCTCAGTCTCTTTCTCACTCTTCTCAAATGCCTTCTTTCTTCCAACAGTCCTTGCTTCAGGCTTGACAACATATTTTTGATCTCTTGTGGTGCGGCATTAAAGGTTGCTAGATTCGACCAGGTGACCTTGAGTAGGGTGGCGAGCGTAAAGGTGAAGGAGATGAAGCCGATGATGGTCGATATCATGGATAGTGGGGAGAAGGCTGTGTGGGATATTGTCACACCCATCTCGCAGTCTATGTCGGCTGAGGGATCAGTGCTAGTAGTGCTGAGTAAGCCTGGTTCGTGGAAGGTAGAGGTCGTGGTACAGTTACAAGTCGTCGATGAATTGGACCAATGGGCGCCTACGCAACAAGAAATGTTTGTTTGGGTTCTGGTTGCACGGAAATGTCGGCAGCAGGCGTTGTCTACGTCTGCAAGACATCCTCCGTCTGGAATTGTTTCCAAACGTCACGATTTGATCAGGACAGGTCCCCACGGTTGCTGGCGCCGACCCAATCATCTGTAAGCGGAAATAGACTGACTGATGCTATGGTCGGCCAAGCTGACACATTCAAGTACGATGGAAATGACTTTCTTCCTGTTGTATCGAGCGTGTTTGGGAGACCGACAGATTTGGCCACAGTGCCGTTTGCTGTCTTTGCAATATCATATGGAAGCAGTGTTGGGCCAGGGTGACAAGCGAAGACCACGTCTTTGCATGTCTACATTCGCTCTTGCGAATTCGTTCCATGGCACATACTACCAGGTATCGTACACTTTTATATATACACACGTCTAGAACTTGTAGACCTGGTCCTTGCTGTAGCCAAGCTCCTTCAGCATTCCGTCAAGCTCGCCCTGGTCGGACGGGCTCTTCTTGCCTCCGCTGATAGCCTTGTACATGCCTGGTGGTCCACACACAAACAGCTTGATCTTCTCGCCTTCCTTGGGCTCAGGCAGAACAGTCTTCAAGAGCTCCTTGGTAACGTGTCCCTTGCCGCCTTGCCATGACTCAGGTGGGTTGTCCAGAACGTAGAAAGCGCGGAAGCGCTGGGGGTATGTGTTCTCCAACTCCTCCCACTCGCGCTTCAACAGAATGTCCTCCTCTGAAACGTTGCCGTAGATGAGCGTAACCTTGGTCTTGTCCTCGGGGTTGCGGAAGATGTGTCGTGCTGTTTGCCACATGGGTGTGATACCGGTGCCACCAGCGATCAGGGCAATGTGCTCGTGCATGTTGGGCTGTGAAAGAGACATCGATGTTAGTGGTTGCTTCACAACTAGGCTATCGACGAGGCTCGTACCTTCCATTGGAACTTGGGGATAGGTCCCTTGATGTCTAGCCGTTGGCCTGGCTCCATGTTGTGCATGTGCTGAGACATGGGGCCGTTGGGGTAGGCCTTGATGATGAAGTCGACGGAGCCCTTCTGGTCCACGTCGCTAATCGGGGTGTATGGTCGGATAACTGGCTTCTGCATCTCGGGGCCCTTGTACTTGGTAATAACGGCCGCTATGTTCAGTCAGCATGTGCGGTGATCGAGACATTCTGCTGATAGACATACATGCGACAGGCAATCCGCTCTCCATGTCCTCCTCGGGCAGCTTGAAGCGGAGCTTCTTGGTGTTGTGGTTGACGACTTCGATGTTCTCTAGCGCAAGCGACACGAAACCCTGGTCGCCTCCCGTGAAGGCCTTCTTGACGGCGCCGGTGGAAGAGGGGATCTTGTTGGCCTCTTCTGATGGCGGCGCATTGCCCTTCTGCCCCGACGGCGCGTCGCCGCCCCTCATGAACAAGTAGGCACCAGCGAGACCGGCAGCGCCGATACCCGTGTAGAGAATGCCATTGTTGCCGCTCTTGGGCGCCTCAGATGCGTAACGGCGGACTTGCTATTTTCTGTCAACCTCCAAAACTGACATTGGCGATTTGTAATCTCAAATCAGACGGAAATGTGGGCGCATACCTGGTGCAGCGTCTTGGCTGGGCGGAATACCTGTCTGGCAAACATGGCGAGACGAATTGGTATGAGAGGAGGGGAATGAGGATAGAATTGAAGTAACTGGAAGAACAAGCGTTATCCGGGTGCAGGTGCTAACGACGGAGCTCATCGTACGCTAGCGCCAAGCAGTAAACGTCATCGCTGTTTTGCCGGCCCGTCCGAACTCAACCCTCATCCGTCTTCCAGTGCATCTTCAACAGTAGTGCGACAGTCCATGCTATGCTCATCATGTCTGATTGAACTTCACTGAGACTTTCCACGGAATATCATATAGCGGTATTCTGCACTCCATACAACAGCTATGAAAGAGAACGAGAAAGACCGCTCCGCCCGGGATCCATCACCGACAGATTGAGCATGTTTCTTCGGCACCTTGAGAAATGGACGCAATGCGCGGCACTAAGCATCAACTGAACAATATATACACTAGCCATCTCGCGACGAGATGCTGACTGACGAGGCCTCTGGAGATCATGTCGGCTATGCAGGAGAATAGCGATGCAAGCAATATGGCGAGACATCACATCGCAGACGCCCCAGCACGTAACCCGGACCTGTCGCGCCACGTTCGCGGAAGCCTGTGTCGGGATCGCCATCAGCACGCTATTTGTTCAGGCTGAGCGCGTTACATGTTTAACAATACCGGACGAACCAGGTTGACATTGTCGCATTGTGCTGTTCACAATGGGTCAGCTGCTCACGCATTACCTCTGAAACCGCACCTTTCGACTCTGGCCGCTCTGAACATCGCCCCTCAGAAGCCTATAGAAGGTAGAAACGGCGAGCAATCGGATCTGCAATGGTAGAGACCGCGTGTCCTCAATGGCACAGACTGGACCCTGGCGATGAGTGAAGGGGAGAAGCTCGGTCCAGCCAGCTCACAGTGACCGTCGGACCCTACTATGTCATTTCGGCTGCCACAGATCTCTTAACTACGACCCTTTCTTCGCTGTTTTCTTTATTCACCTCCGGTACAAATATACAGCTTTTCTCTAACGATGTGTACTTGAATAATTTTAGGCGCCTATTCTCGAACGAGTGCGATTCGCATACTTTTTGGGTCGCTAGAGCTCTCTAGGCGAACCATCAACTGTCGCCCTCAGACCGCTGGTCGCAATCGAACCCTCACGAAGAACTACGATTTACTTACTGGCCGGAGCCAGGATTATTGCCGGTGCACACAACTCTCAATCGCGTCGACATGGCTTCGCAGTTTCCGACACTAGCTTCAATGCGGCAACCATGCGAGCACAACTATACTTATGCACCGAATCTTATCCCCGACTCAGCACTTTCAGTCTGCGCAGTCTGCATCACAGAGGCTCGCATTGGTGAAGTGAAGTTCGCGACATTTGCGTTAGCTCGCCGCGGTGGTATTTTCGAATCCTCAAAAGCAGGGCCAGAGCTACGTACGAATGGTATCGATGATCTAGGCTGGATGTCACACAAGGATTGCACAGGTCGGTGGAAGAGGGCAAAACTCGATTGTTGGAGACTTGTTGCGACCCTGGAGAATCTACGAGATGAACAGTTCGAAATGGCTGAGGAATGGGGAGTCGACGAGGCGCTCTATCTTTGGGAACTAGCAAGAGACGAATGTTGGAAGGTGCCTGGCTGTCAATATCTGGAATACCCCGCTTCGAAAGAGGTAGAATTGACATCACGATCGCCTGCTATTGAGAGTGTCTCGGAGCCTACGCCCCAGGAAGAAGAAGATTCTGATGGTAGTTGGGAGAAGGTCAAGCGCAGGTGGAAGAGGAGGTCTCAACAGATCTCATTTTCAGACGACAATGAATCGCTGGATGTCGATCAGATGAATCTAAAAGAGATGGAAGGAGTCAACGATAGGCTAGCAGATGCAAGGTCGACACCCAGGAACCGCTTCGGCAAGATCGTCAAAACCAGTAGAAGCGCCACCACAGTAGCTGTCGCACAAGCCGTGAGCAGGTCTAAAGGCTTACTCCAAGGGGACACAAAACAAGTAAGGATATCTCTTTCGCTGCCTCTAGTCAACTTACCGTCTGATTTTCTACAACAGTCCGCTGCTCCCCCTCGCAAATCAGTCAGTATCGACGCGCAAGCCACCATCCTCCCTTGCGATTACACTCCAGCTACGACGATGTCACACCACGAGCACACAGTCATAGAACGGAGCCGCAACCGCCCCACTTACAGTCGCAGCTCCCGTTTCTACACGCCCTCATGCTGGGCGAGTCCAGAGGGTTACGAGAAAGATGACACCAGTCTTTCCAAGAGCTCTTGGGCGACTGTTGACCAGCTCCAGAGGGAGTTTGCGGGCTTGGACGTGGACTCTGAGAAGAAAGAAGAGGTGCTTGCTGAAAGAGCTGAGGAAGCTGCCGCTGAGCAAGACAAGAAGGCTAACTTGAGGAAAGTAAAAGACAAGGCCTTTCGCGCACGGCGACCGCCATGGCAAGGAGAAAGGCTCTTTCATGATAGCTGGCAGGGTGCTGAGCTTCTTCACATGAGAGACTACTTCAAGAAGGCGCTCGCAGAGGATGCAAACTTGTCATCGCTGAGTCAATCGCACCGCATGGCATTGACGAGGGGTCTTCATGACTGCGGTAGTGCTTTGATGCGTGAGGAGAAGCAGAAGGAGAAGAAATGGGTGGATGCCGAGAGCGAACGATAGGCGGTACAAGGCACTGTTGGCGGTATCTGTGAAGGAGAAGGGACAGGGATGGAAAGAGGCGCACATGTATACGACCAAACGTTGAGAATAGCTATACATCCCTCGATACGCTGTCGTGAAGTATAATTATGGGTACATGTCGCTGTCCCTTCAACAAGACAGACTACGCTGTCCCTACCTTTTGTCACACTTTCTGACCCGTCAAGTGCAAGTTCAATCACCGCTTAAGGATATAAAGTCTCCGCCGCTGCATGCATTTGCATTCTCACCGATAACAATACGCAGCATACAGAAAACAAAATAAGCCCAACGTATCCAAATCTACGCTAGCAAAAGTAACAGCCCTGTGCTCAACCCTCTACACATAATTTTACGGCCTCGAGTCTTACCACCGTCATACCGAGTTGACTCCTAGCACCTAAAAGAAACAAACCATGCCCTCAGGTTACTATCCCTCTCGACGACGAAATCTTCCATATGGCAATACACCATATCACGAGCTTCCTAACGGCGGCCGAGATCTTGCCCCCATCAGACAGCCCGATGTTCATGGCAGCGTCGGTTTACCAGGCACTCGCAGTAGTTGGTTTAACTACGACCCGGATAATGGTATCAATCGCAACACAGACCACTGGTATGGACGTGGAGGTCAGTGGAATAGGTATAGGTCGCCGTACATGGGCGGTGGTGGGTGGGGATGGGGACCCAGGTAAAAAGTGGAATGGAGAAACGTTGAACTTGGTTGAGAGCTGTTAAACAGCCTATTCGAAGAAATCTAGTCGCTACTGATACACTCGTTCCGTGGCTCACTTCCTACATTGAGATACCTGTGAGACCGACATAGGGGCCCGACCCAGAGGAGAGAATGAAAAGACACCTCGGTGTTCGTCCGCAGGACTCACCACTTCGCGAACTCGACAATTTTTCCATTTTAACCAAAGAGCAAACAAGGAAGTTTGGTAGTCCAACATTGGGGTTGCTTCGTGCCGCTATTCTCTAATACCAGCTTGGCGAGCTCTCATCACTTCGTCATTCTGTACTTCCAAGCTTGCTTCGGTAAGAATGGGTTATTATTCGTATATAGTATCAAAGTCGTAAACTTAGCAATAGGCGTCATGAGAGCAGTAGAGATAGTAAGAAGGTATACACAGAAGCGAATATGCAGGATCCGTAATCTACAACATGCGATGAAACTATGCTGGGACCGAATGATACGCGCACTGAAGAGAGCGTTGGGGGTATATGGCGGAAATAGAAGAAAAGTGCCCATCCAAATAACACCCATGATCTGAAAAAGTGTCCAAGATCCGAAACGAAAAAGGTCCATGCGTAAAGTGCGTTAGGCGTTGATTATGAGGTTGCGCTGACTGGTATCTTCAGGATAGGCCCCAAAGACGAAGCGATAGAGCTCGCGCAGCCACTTGAATGATTCGCTGCGGCCCAGCCATTGCACCGATCTTCCAATCTCAAGTGCCGTCAGCCTGCGGAGTGGCTGAGTGTGAACGCTTCGTAGTGTCGGGTCTGCAAGAACAAGTTTTCGGTAGCTCTCGAACAATTGACTTTGCCACGTCTCGGCGCCGAAGCTGTTGGACGGCAAGGCACGAATAAAGTCTGGAAGGGGAATCTGGCGATTGTATCCTGTGTTGATGGCTGCCTTGATGATCAGCCCTTTCAGGCGGACCAGGTTGGCATCCTCTCGACCAGCGGTGGCGGTAGAGGAAGTGTGTTGTGAGGCGTCAGAGTATGTGGAAAGGTTGGAGGAAGCGGATGACCAACGGTCATGAGTCCGTGTCATGCCAGCTTCTGGGCCGAGAACAAGTATGTTTGGCACGTTGGGCTCGTCTGCGGGCGAGAACTCTTCGCGGTCATCGAAGATGGTTGTTGGTGTCTCTGGCTGCATTGGCGTCGCGTTTCTCGATTGAATGGCCGAATGATACGACTCATTGACACTGGAGGATCGCCCAGACCGTTCCGAATATGCAGTCTGGGAGCGATGTGTCATGGAACTGCGACCCACCGAGAAGGCATACTGAGTGGGTCGTGGAGTGCCGCGATCAGGCCGCACCTGCGTCCAGCCTTCACGGAACAAGTCACACAACTCCCAGCACGCCTGGATTGCCGAGCCCAGCAGTTCCTCGTCGGCTGGCTTGCCATCCCGGCTGTTTTGGCGGAGACTGAAAAGCATTTCTGCCAGTGACCAGCATGCATGGAGCAATGAATCGGTCTCTTCTGGAAGCGAAGTGCGCTGCTTCATTAAGCGATGACATAGCGTCAAGTAGAAATCCAGAGTGCGTTCACGAAATGTCTCGGGTAGTGTGCGATCATGTGCGTTGTAGAGATGGTTGTTCAGCTCAAAGCTGACTCTGAGCACCGAATCAGAAGCCTCGTCGCCGCGTTGACGCACGTCGAATAGTGCCTGACAAAAGTCCCGGCAAAGCTCCAGGGTCGGTCGAATCTGCGTGGAGGGGTTCTCCTCTCTACTTTCGTAGAGCTTCTGGCAAAGTCGCCAACACGTTCTCCAAGCATGCTCCTGCATATCAGGGCTTCCACCAGAGTAGTGGAACATGCGTGTTCTGTGGTGTTGGCTCAATTTAGCCAGCGAGTTGCAGAGTGTCCAGCATTCGTCCAGTGCGCTTCGCAGGGCAGCCACTTCCTTCTCCGACTCTTGGATGCCGTGGATCGCCTGACCCATCGTTTGGGTACCGATGGACATGGACTCGCCGTCTTGCGATTGTGATGACTGGCTGTCATCCTGTTCGATGACGGAGCTCGCAGAAGAATCTGTGGTAGCATGGTCGTCGTACTCGGCAATATCTGTGCATGTTAGCGCGTGTGCCTTCCAAGATGCGCGGAGACGTACCTGCGAGATTGACGCTTTTGCGAACACTTCGCCGCCTGAGGTCCTCCTCGAAATCTTGTCTTGTCTGGGCACGCGGCGTGCTGCGGTCGGTAACTGAGTTCGACACGGCAGTATCAATGGGCGTGGTGTAGGCAGAAGACGTGTGCTTGTCCTCGACATCCGGAAGCATGTTGGCTTCTGGCGTTGACGGCGATACGACAGCTGTGTTATCTGACGTGTTTGCGCTCGACGACCCGCCAGACGTCATCCGGTTCTGGTTCTGGTTCCCACGTCAGCCATGTAGTGCAACCACAACAAAAGGGCACTCACGAATTGCTTAAAGGTGTCGGGCGCATGGATGACAGACGGCGGGGCATCGTCCGAGTCAGCCCTGCGCACGGCGGTGTTGAGCTTATGGGTATGGGGCTGTCACAAGTTAGATGAGTGCAGGCAGGCAGGCGCGGTAGAGGTGTTGGTATGATACCTTTGCGGGCCCGTCCTGGCTCGCCGGGCTCACTATGTCGTCAGTGCCCGGCGATCTGATATCGCTCATGCCATCTTCGCTTGCACTTGGGTGATTGACCTGGGCATCGTCTTCGATCTGTAGTGGGGTCAGCCCCGCGCGTTCGTATATCCACCCACGACGCGACGTACCTCAGTGTGGTCAGTATGGCTCGTGCCGTTGCTGTCGACGGGCGAGGGGTCGACGGTCGCCGGGTATGGGCTGGGCGGTGGTTGCAGGTGGTCGGACGTGTGCCCTGAGGATCTTGGGGAGTCCATGTTAGCGGGCAGTCGCCAATGCTCTCGCAGCGAGGGCGTCGCACCTATTTGAGAAGACGTGGGCGAAGGTGCCCGGTGAGCTGGGCGAGTCCGTGTAGGGGCTGAATGCCGACATGGACTTCAGGCCACTCGGTGACGGCATGAGCTGCGTCGCGGTTGCCATGCCTCGCGCTGCTCTTGAGGAAGGCACAACAGAGGCTGCGCCAGGACTGCGCCGGATCTGCGCTGCGGTGGGAAGGAACAATCGCGCGTGGTCTCGCGATGGGCTGCCTATCACTCAGACGACGGGGTTGGCGAGGCTGAGCGGCGGGTCACGAATCAGAAGGGAAGGCGCGAAAAGGGTGGGCGGCGGGCGAGCGCTTGCGTCTAGGGAAAGAAGGACGGGACGAGGCTTATCAGAGCAGGCCAGCTGCCGGGAAGAGGCTCAAGGTGCTTGGTGCAGAGAGGTGTCGTTGTTTGTTTCAACACTGCGACTCTGCCTCGGTGGAGACTCTCAGCGCAGACAGGCGGCAGGCGGCGTCAATCGTCTACCTAGCAGCAGCAGCGAACTGCTCGCCCGCCCGTGCACTACGCCCGCTTACAACACCTGTCCGTTCACCACCACCGCTGGGCGCCGCAGACGAATCGCCGCCCTGGGTGCCGCTAAGCTTCAGGGATGCACTGCAGCTTAAGCGCCCAAACCCACGCTAGATGGCGGGCATGGTCAGCGATCCCGCGCCGTGCGTGCCAGAGACACGACACTGGATCCTCTAGAACAGCCATCGCTACCAGCCTGGCTCCCTCTTCCGTCTGCTGGTGCGAACCCCTCCGATCCATTGTCCTACCTGATGCCGTCCCGCGGAGAACAAACGGCTGCGCGGCCCTCCAAGGTGTAGGTAAGCAGCCCCTTGGCATCATCTATTCACCCAGCATTAGTTCCTCGCATGGCGAACGTTGCTGCAGACCACTAGGGCCAGGCCTCCTTGAGACGCTAATGCACCCTTCCTCAAAAGGCTCCATCAGGTGCTTGGAGACAGCACAAGTGTGCGGCACAGTCACGGTGCCCTCCCACCGTTTGCTCTGTCTCCAGTCTGGCCCCATCGACATCGACGTGGCGGCCTTGCATCAAATGAAGGCCTGCCTGGTGTGATGACTTCCTGCTCGCAACGGTCCGTCGACACATGGCATCCCAAGAGCCTCTTCTTGCTAAATCTGTAGGATCGTCATCGGTATCGCTCTTCCACTAGTTCATCTCCAGATTCCCCAAGCGTATCAGCGTCCCCGGCTACCATGGGCTCGGATGCTTAGATTGGCCAATGGCATCCCCAACTTTTTGACCGGGACACGAAAGCACACATTTTTTCTCCCACCAACCTACCACAGCTCACGCCGCGCGTATCTT